CCCTGGTAACTGTATATAATTTTGCGCAGGTCTATCCAGTAAATTGGACTGCATTGTTATGTTTTAACAACAGTTGTAAATGATTATGAAAGGAAGAAAGGTAGCTGGAGAGAGAAAAGAAAGATATTACCAATGGCAGAGCAAGGTGGTAAGTGTTAAGGTGAAGAATAACCTTACCAAGTAATTGACTTCTGAGTTTCTTAAAAACTTGGCATCTGAGGAAACAGTTACTATTTAGGGGAAATAATGACAAATAAGAGGAACTAGAAATTTAGGTTAAAAAAAATCAGCTAAAAATCCCTTTTCAAAAGTAATTGTATTGTTTCTTGTTGCATAATGGTAAAAAATAGCACAGAAAATGAAACATGAGTTTTACAGGACAACTTGATGCTCAACAAGCTAGATTATTTTTCGGTATTAAACCAGTAAAAGTATTCAACTTATTCATCAAAGACCATGGAATAAGGAATTGTAGGCCACTTGTGAGCCATTTCTTAAAAATCTGAAATATGTTTAGACACTAATTCTACTTATTATACTAATGCAAAAATGATTTGTGTTAACATGTTTTCTCCAAACTGTACAACCTGGAACTAAAAAACCTAACCTGGTTATTATTTTACAAATATGATCCAAAAATCAATTTAATGGGGAAAGCAGACAATTCAGTCAATTGTTTTGAGGTTTGTTAAGGTATTCACATAATTTGTATTGCCTTCAATGGAAAAAAAAAGCTCTAACTATTGAAGGCAATACAAATTATGGAGAAAAGAAGAACCAAGATACATCATGTCAAGGTACAAGATCCCAATGATGAATGTATCTGTGCTGTATACCTAAAAAGTGCTCTTTGTACCTTGATATGATGTATATTGGTTCTTATTTTTTCCCTATATCCGTGCCCTCCCTTCACCCCCTCCAACTTCCCTATTTACAAAGACTTTGTTTCCATTTTATCCTTTTCTCATATTTTTTCTTTCTTTCTTTCCTTTCCCCTGCCCCTCCTACTTCCCCTAAAACACCACTATTTTGAAAAGAAATAAAAAAGGTCTGTGGATGAGACACAAACAACTTTTTTAATAAATAATTATTATCATCCCATATGTGTCAGATTGTGATAGGTTGCAGAACTTTCTAACTTGGGGGAGAATGTATCACCTACACAAAGCTGGAAAAATTCAAATTAAAAACAAAATTTACATGAGCAAAGAGAGCTATAGTCAGGAAGAGCATGAGGCGAAGAGAAACTACCAGGAGGAGGCATCACTGACCACAGTGTTAGGAAACGTGTGAGGATATAAAGGAGTAAAGAATTAGGTATTCGTGCGGAGAGACCTATATGCAGAGGCATGGGAGGAAAGGAATGACGGGATGGTGAAACACAATATGTACAAAACAGGGCATTAATCACCTGTAAAATTTAATGGAGTAAGTTTTTATATCATCTCCAGATACCCCCCCACAATCACCATTTCTAGATTGAAAAATGTTATTGATAAAGAGACATGAAGAAATACAAACTACTACTAATTATTTAGTAGTGTTTGATTGGAACACAGGGTATAGGTAGACCTAGTGTGGGGCTTTCCTTTTATTCTGTGGAATTTGTATACATTGCTTTTAGATAATGGATATAAAAGTGATTAAAAGCCAGCCAATGGTGAGAAGGGAAAGCATTGGTTTAAAGTGACTATACAGGCAAATAGTATCTGAGGTTTGGCCAGCAAGATATATGTTAAACACATCATTTGGGGCAAAGTTCTCAGCAAACAGAAACAATAAAGAAAAATGTCTTTTTAAGAGGATACTTGTATGGACCAAAATAACACCAATAGATATATATGCAAAGATATATGAAGAGAAATTTTCCAGAAATATATTTTAGAACTGAGAAACTTTAGATTAGATAGTGAAGCAAGAGCTGGTGAGAAATCCTTTCATTGGAGAACAGATTTTGTTTTTCTTTTCTTCTTTCCCCCTCAGCATTGTATTATTTGGATGCAAGATTTTCTTGCTGAACTTTAAAGCCTTCTATGTTATTGTTAACACTTCAGTTCCCCCTAATGTGCTTGGTAAAATAATTGCTTCACTTATTTGCTTGCATATTCAATATTAAAATACCACGCTTTCTTAAATTTATTTCAAGCACTTTGGAGTCTCAAAATAATATTAGAAATATCATAACTACCTGTACAAACAGTATTTTTGAACATTTTCTTATTGGATTATTACTTTATCATCTAAAATGAACAAGGAGCACATATAGAAACCTTAAAATTTATAAAATATGACTATACATTTGTAGAAAACATGAACACAAGAATTCTAATTAACCATTTTTCTATATAAATGATTAGCTCAAATTTTTTTTTTTTTTTTTTTTTTTTTTTTGTACCGGGGATTGAACTCTTGCAAGGCAGGCCACTGAAATGCTGAGCTAAATCCCTGGCCCTAAAACTTTTTTTTTTTAAGATAGCTTTTACTTTAAAAATATCTACAAGTTGCTTTAATCAAATAATTAAGTCCCACAATAATTTGTAAACTACAAGAGAATATATGTAAGTCAATATATAAGCCATTCAAACAACTGAACTGTGTGGAAATTAGTAAATCACAGCATTTATCATTTATTTTATAATTGGAATGTAAACTTTATTTTGTAGCATGAGCAACTAAGTTTATCTCTTAGCTCTGTCTTTGTTTTAATTGCATGTTTCAACAATTTATTTAATATTTTTAAGCCTCAGTGCCTTTATTCATAAAATTCTAATAACAATTCTTACCTTATATGATTCTTACATATGTTACAAATTATTCATGTAGAACAACTAGTATGGTGTTTGGCACTCAGATCCAATTTTACTTGAAATACATTATGTACCTCCATAACAATATTGAAACATTATAGCCATTGTAAATGCAAAATATTTTTAAAAATACATCTTATTTACATATACTTTCTCAGACTACCAAAATTGAAGTCAATTAGCATAAACATGAATGAGTATCATGTATTACCAGTTCTGTATTGCCTCAGAGAAGAGTCAACTAATAAACAACAGGTGTGTGATATTTGTATACATAGCTGGAGGTTGAGATTATGATTCTTTCTTATTGTCAGGGATGCTATGGGAATTATTTCAAAAGCGGTAATAAACTTGTATTGATCCATCTACATATAAACTATCAACACAGTTCTCATGGCCAAGCCTTACCACTGCATATATCCATATATGGTGATAACATTTATCGTGCTGTTATAAAAGCTGCACTAAATGATTTGGCACTTTTATTCATAATATGCTATATATATACATACATACATACATACTCTGGTTTCTCTTCAGATCGCATAATGTGTTATATTCTTTTCCTCCTTCATAACTCTGCAAGGAAGCCATTTCCCCTATTTTGTAAAGCACTTAACTACTTAGATCCAAATAATGCACAGCATAAGTAGATTGCAAAGATAGACCTTCCAGCTCTGTACTGCGTACATTCTTTTCTTCTCATGCAGCCGCTTAGAAAGGGAGCAGAGACTGTTAAGAAATCGCTAATCACCTTTGACTCTGTCTTACTTCTTTTATTTCAGTATTGTGAAAGTAACCTATCTTTTTTTTTTCCAGGTATTGGGGATCAAACTAGGGTCCTTGTGCTTGCGAGGCAGGCGCTGGAACCATTGAGCTAAAGCCCCAGCCCATATCTTCCTAAGATCAAGAAAGTACAATTTTTTTCCTGGTGTAGGCTCCGAAGTTTTTCTATTAATCCAGGTTCTTTCTGACATCCTCTGTATTTGTGTGCTTATCTGCAGCTGTCTGCTAGTGGATGAACCTACAGGTCCACCATGCTGCCAAATCCATAACCTTGGTTTCATAATCATTCTTCTCTACAGCTTTAATCTAGTTTCAGTCCCTAAATCTATATTCAATTGGCAAACATCTTTTCACCCCGAAACTCTCAGTAAGTTAATTTGAACACCATTTTTCTTTCCTTATTCTCTGGGGTTGACTGTCGCTTCCTTGCCTCGAGTCTAGCTCATTTATTCTCCTCCGTGTTACCTGAGTGAGCCGTCTAGCCCACAAATAGAAGTATGTTACACATTTTTGATAGGCACTTTTCAAGGTCCTCATTACTTTCACAAGAAAAGGAGGTTCTTGATGGTCGAATTCCAATTTATCTTTGTACCGTATGTCTCAGAGTTTACATAGTCATTCCCAGGTTTCAGAGAATTGTTTCCAGGGACCCAGCAATATGCAGATGCTGATGATCTTTATTGAAAATAGTGTATATTTGCATATAAGTACTTAAATACTCCTATATCCTTAAAATTACATGCACATATCTTATAATATCTGATACAGTGTAAAAGCTATGTAAATAATTGTTATAGTGTGTTTTTCAGAGAAAATAGAAAACATATTTACATGTTTAGTATAGCACAGTATTCAAAATACTTTTCATTTATTGTTGAATCCATGGATATTTAACCTATAAATCTGGAAAAGGCTTTATATTGCAGTAGAGTTTACTATGCAAGCTGCATTTTCTCAAAACACTTTCTTTTTTTATTTTACTGAAAACATTCCTCCTTTTTCTCTCCCTCACACCCATTTGTATTTGTCCAGATCGTCTGTCCTTGGGCCTTCAGCTGAGAATCACTTTGTTCAAGGAACTCTCCTAGAACCCTCAGGTCTGGGTGAGATGTTCCTCTTAGATATTCCTTTTATTTTTTATTAATTTCCTTCTAATATCACTCATTACAATGTGTTAAAATTGCTTCTCTAGGGGGCGGGGGGTTTAGCTCAGTGGTTCGGTGGCCTGACTTGCAAGCGCAAGGACCCACGTTTGATCCCTGGTACCAAAAACAAAAACAAACAAAAAATTTTTTTTCTTCTCTGCACATTTGTGTCCAATACTGCACTGTGATTGCACTTTGCAATCAATTACCATGGAGACCAGAGACCAGGGACTATACCAGCTTTTATTTGAGAACCTAGGTAGAATAGATCCAATAAAGAAATTGTGTTGAATGAAAGCAAAAGTAAAATAAAGAAAAAGTGAAATATTCAACTTGAAGAGACTACATACACTATATAACCATTTTATCTTCCTTAAAATCTAAGAATAATTTTGGATGTTAAAGTTTATTTTTAGTGATTTCTGTTTACTGTTACTAGGAATTTTAGAGGTGGGCAAGTTCAAATATTTCATAAGCTTAATTATAGCGCCAGTATTTTATGATACCTTACAGATACTGTCATTTACTAACAACTCTCTACTGTTCACTCAAATATGTTCAGAATGACAAAACATGTTTGGCATATTTTTCCTAATTGGACAATTACTGGTTTTCAAATTTTGATGAATTCTGATGGACAAGTATTGGTAAATTTAAGTATTTTTGAAGAAAATGAAATATTTTAAAGAATAAGTAGTATGGAGAAAAAGTGACTAAAATATTACCTAAAGAGGAAAAAAAAGACTTTAAAGGTATGAATCCACTAAGGCTCCAAAAGCCCTCAAAATATATCTAGGTCCATCAAAATTCCATTTATTTGTGTTTCAGTTATTTATATTTTATTTTTTGAAGAAAGAAAAAATATTAAAAATAAATTTTGACAAGCTTTTATAGAATGATCAATTGCATTTCTTTAAGTCAAATTCAGAGGATGGATTTTGACTTCAAAAAGAAGTAACGTAAGTCCCATATTTAATAAAAATTATTTAACTAATTTCACATGAGTACCTTGTTATTATATGCATTGCAGTCATTTCTCTTTTTCTACCATTTCATCTTTTTCCATCTAAACTCAAACCTGAAAAGCCACTTAAAAATAAAGAGTTAATCTTTCATTGGCAGCATAATTTTCCTTTTCTGCTTGTCTTCAACAGACTTATTCTAGCAGTTACATTATTTATAACTGTTGTGAATAAAAGAAAAGAAAATGCTGTGCAAATGAAATATTATAAAATTAAATGGTAACATATTGTGTTGCTTGGGATCCTAGTCAAGACTAGAGGCAAAATAGAAATAACAGATGCAATATAAATGTAGAGATAATATGTGTATTATGCTGCACCCTAGTTTCACAAAATTAGTACAATATGCTCAGGAAAAGCTGAGAGATACAGAGTCAGAAAGAGGGAGGATGCTGCCAACCAACACAAATGAAGGTACAGGGATCATTTAATCTTGCTTTGGTAATGAATTTTGTAAAGATATGGCACACTAATTGGATTTCTTATTAAAATTTCAGTCAAGAAGATATTTCTTCCATATTAATAAGGGCTCCCTATATTTTTTGAATCACCAGATTTTTAATATTCCTTTTTAATGTAGTAATTTTAATATTTTGGAGTGGACCCAATTAAATTCTTCCCCAAAGCTATGCATACAGATGCTTCTATATTACTCCCCTAGTGGTGTTGCAGTCTAGGAGCAATTTAGGGCAAAGGTTTATTTTGGTCAAAATATAAATGCATACATATAAGTTATAGAATAAATTATTCAGTGCAATATATGTAATAGTAAGTTTACTCTATTAATTACCTAATTTATGTGGGACATATTATATAATCCGGTAACCATTACAATCCAAAACAAACTTGTCGTGTAGTAGTATCTATTATTTTTACATGAAGAAGTAATAGCCCCCCTTTACCTAGGGGAGAAAAATAAAAAAAAGAAAACACTTTAAACCACACTTCTTTGGTGCAATTACAGATGCATTCATTTGCCTTTGCAGTACTCATGCCCTTTGCCATGTTAATTTGCTGCTCCTTCTGTAAAATTTCTCTCTACTTCTCTTTCCCAACAAAGAAAGATACCTCACCTTTTATGAACAGAAACAATATTAACTACTAAATTATTTAAATGTAGAGTAATGCCCTTAGCTCTGCATAGACATGGTGCCATGTTACACTTACTGTCATCATTTACTATCTCAGCTAAAAGAGCTTGCTATAGAAGAACGACTGTCTCTACCAAAACTTTTCTTGGGGCTCTGTCCTCAGTGATTTGAAATAATGGATATGAAATTGTTTGACTCAAATCCTAACAGTAAAATATTCACGAGGGATGTGAATAAAGTCAGTATAAACTAACTTTAGCTATTAGTGGTTTAGCACAGAGTTATAGTATGGATTTGATATGTGTGAGGTCTTGGGTTCAATTCCTAACATCACAACAAAATCAGCTCTAACAACAAAATAAATAAGCTTACATATTATTTGTAAGCACAGCATTTTGCTAGTTTTTTGCTAAACAGTTATTGGGTAAAAGGTTGCTATATTGGCAAGCTAGAGTCAATAAATTATATTTGAAAGTATTTGATAATTATGAATCAAAGCAAACAGTGAAGGCATTCAGATGCATTAGATCAGACAAGAAGAAATAATTGCATTGCTAGGAGACCCTAAGGAGTTAAGAGACTTGCATCTATAAACCTAAAAACTGCATGTCCGTTTATCCAGGATTTTTGCATATTGGTGTTAATAGAGATTCATAAAAGACAATGAATTAGAGGACTAATCTTCCAAAAACCAAGCAGATTCTTTCAAAGGAAGAAAGATATTTAATCCCATGATAAAATATGTCAAAATGCCAAATATCAAGCTTCCCGGACTTTAAAAATGACGAGCACATACACTGAGAGTGGTCATCCATGACCACACCTCCATCCACATTGTCAAACACATGGATATGCAAAATTTAAGATTGAGGTTTTGAGTTGTTATAAGGCGTTTACAGAGTACGCTACCCGACAAAATCAGAATACACACTCTTTTCAGCTGAACATGGGTCGTTCTCCAAAATAAACCACATACTCACTCATGAAATATCTCTAAGTAAATGCAAAGGAATTAAAGTGATCCCCTGTATATTATCAGATCATAGTGGGATGAAATTGGAGAGCAATAGCAAAAGAACCCACAAGAATTTGAATGACATACTTCTAAATAATCAATGGGTCACAAAGGATATTAAAGAAGAAATCAGATAGTTCCTACAATTAAATAGTAATGACAATACAACATATCTGAATCAATGGGACACAGTGAAAGCAGGCTTATGAGGGAAATTCATAGCACTGAGTACGCATATTAGGAAAAGAGTGAGTGCAATTAAAAATCAAACTAAAGTTGAGTATAGTTATTCTGATTGTATGCATTTTTTAGGTAAACATAAAAATAGTTGCTGACTATAAGAAATCATGTATTTGTAGTAAATATTTACAAACAGTAATTTTCAGCTCTTTCCATTGATAGTGTAAAATGGGATAAAGGTATATTGTCAATATTTGGAGAACAACATTCCTTATAAAGAAATACCTTTCTAACTTTAGTAATAAAACTGAATAATTTAATTTTAAACTCCAATTTTAGTGTCAAATACTTTTAGAAGAACTATAAGGTTTCTCACCAAATGATTTAATATTTTATTTCCTTTGATAGTGATAGTCATGTAATTTGTGTTTCACAACAGCTTAAATATTTTTAGAGGAAATCTTGTCTCACAAAAATTATTGTTTTGCATGTTTCCTTCTAATATTTGTTGATTGTATTTTAAATTTCTCTGATTCTTCTAGGAATTACTTCATTTTTAATTGTGACAATTAACTAGTAATATTTAATTTAGTTAACTCTATCCATTATGGACAAAAATGCTACTTATATGTGAATTCTTTCAACATTTTGATTAACAGTAATATTTACAACATGTTAGGAAATTTTAACTAAATATAAACATCTACAATACTATCATTATTGTCCATTTTTAGTACCAAAAAGGTCAGCTTGCACTGATAGTTATGTTTTATTGACTGCTTTTTGAAATTTCACTATAC